CCAGTGGGTCAACACACCAGTTTAACCAGTTCTTTAGTAACGCACCGGTTTAACCCGTCCTTTGGACTTGCTGGGGGATATCATATTGAAGCTCATTCTGAGGATCTCATGATGTGGTTCTTGATGGTCAAGTCTTGGAACTGACCAAGTTGTTTTGGGCTTTGTGTGCTAATCTCTCCTTTACTAGTCTATTGCTTCTTGTAGTAGTAATGCCCGGAGCTACTAGTAGCTTCTTGCTACTCATAGCGATGCACTCATAGTATGCGGCACCGTACGTTACTACGTTCGCGTCATTGTTATACTACGTTCACGTCACTTGTTCCTATCGTAATGCAGAAGACCCTTCGCCTCACTCCACCCCAAAAGGATCACGAAAACGTCGAATCTGGTTTTGTGCAGTTCAGTGCTGGGCGTTGGGTGGTTCATCTGCGGGTAGTGTATCGGTGCGGTGCATGGGTCACCGTGGCACGCGCAGAACTGAAGGGAGGACCAAGAGATGCATGTTGGACTTAAAAGAGTTGGAGTTGGACTGGCAAGAAGAAACGAGCATCCCTGTGGCTCGAATGTGTCCACGCTTCTAAGAGAGTTTTGTGAACGCTGGTCAACATTTCGGGTCAACATTGGTTTGGATTCGAATCCATGCTGGAAGTGAATCTTCGCCCGAGTGTGTCATTCGCATGGTAAAGGTGGGTATCTACGACTGAGCAGCAGGAGCAAGACGTAGTGATAATGATTCAAACCGCTGCCACCCGAATGCCCAAACAGTCACAATGGGCCAATTGAATCCAATTGAACGATTGGCTGCTTTTTTGTCGCAACCTAACCACTTAAGTATACCGTATGTATTTTAGCTACAATTACCTACACAATCCTACACGACTTGTTTATGAGCACCTACCCACCTACATCAAACCATGGATGGTAAATCCCATCCAAACCCATACCGCCCGTCACGTCCGCACGGAACATCGGTCGCACACAGAAACGGAACAACGGCGGAAATTCCGCCGTTCAAACGGCGCAAGGCCGCCAGCAATGATGGCTCCTCAGGCGAGGAGCGAAGTGGCCAAAGGGTGGTTGTGGCAGTGGATCGCCCGGTGGGAGTGTCCCACTAAAGTGGCAGAGCAGGTGTCAGAGCTGCAGCGAATGTGCAAAACTGCCATGGTTTACAATGTTTGACACGACGCTGTCACAGTCCGAACGCCAGCTTTCTGACTGGCTGTCGAACTGGGATTTCCGGCTTGGGAGTCGGTCTTTGTTCCATGCAATCATTTGTACTTCTTGTTGACCGTTTGATGCAGTTGGCGTTTCCGCAATTCGTGGACCGATTTGTCTCGCTTCGGTGAGACAAATCGTCCATCACATAGCAACCAATACCAAGACCATCCAGGGCTCTTGAACGCATTTTTTCAAGGGCGGAATTTCGAAGGGCGTACCCACCCAATGACATGTTTATTAAGTGTTTCTACCTTTATCGGGGTCTCAACTGGTCTCATGTCACTCTTCTTTTACGTTTTCTTTACCGGAGGATGTGTGTTTTTGTCAGTACAGCCCTTGTAGTTCTTGCCCCAAGAACACTGGCTTTCCTGTTTGGTGTTGATGTTAATGACTCAGCAAAACGATGCAAAACCGAGCTTTTCAGAAACACAGGGCATAGTGGGACGGCTTTTGGTTTTTGTGTGATGTGTCTCACCTGGGATATCGGGATATATATAATATATACATCTTGTTCTTCATGTTTATTCCATTATAGATGGTGCCACAAAGGCTTGCTTTCCTGGAAAACTAGATGTGGGACGGAAATTTTAGAGGAGAGCGTCGCAAAGTGAGCTCATCCTGCCGGTACCTAATCCAATATTATCATCACAATTGAACGGGTGACCCCCTTTGTCATGTTCTTATGTGGTGTTTAGGATCTATCATCACCAGTATCCTTGCAATCTGCTCAGACGTTTGATTTACCCATGCGCGGTTGCTAAAGGCATACACTCCCGAAAGCAGCCATTTGGCACTGGAACATTGCACTGGTTGGGAGAGTCGCTTGATGTGTGTTTTGAGACTGCTACCTTCGTTCGAATTCGACCTTTGTCGAAGAATGGTTCACCAGGGGCAAAAGCGATGCAGTTAGATTGAGTAAGACCTTCTAAACGTGTCCTTTCTTCCGGCAGGCTCTGTGCCTGTGTGTGGCGGCCTAGAGGGCTAGTGGCTGCATCAATGGTGTTCTTCATGCGTGCCCCTTCGAACAAGCTTTAGAGACCGTAGCCTGACGAAGGGCAAAACAATGCAAAACATGTCAATGATCAAACATTTTTGGTGATCGTGTTTAGCTTATAGTATATATATAATACTACATCGACTGGAGATACTACTTTGTGCTGGTTGTGATTAGTGTAACAGGTCGCAAAGTACCTCTTCCTCCTTTCTCTGAATCAGTGAACCCCCACTTGGTCCTATACCCCTATGGATCCCTATGCCTTCTCAGAAGGTACTTGGATCCTCGGAACTAAAAGAGTGTCCAATCACCATCAGCTAGAGGGTATGTGGATCGCTACGGCATGGTGGCACCACCCGAAACCCAGAGAAACGCCACCAAGAGTACCAAAACCCTCCATGGGACTGGAAGATTGCCATACATTGGGATGGCTTGTGGCAAGCATCTAATGCAGAACATGAATGAACATGATGGCTTAAATGATGCGAATCATTCGATGTCTCGTTTTTGTCGGCTCCGGCTCCCCCATCCGTTTCGCTCGCTCGAGGGCGGTGGCATTACCCTTCCGGCCGGAAGGCCGGGTCGGACGGACGGTCGCATCCAAGAGCGAAGCTCGGGTGGATGAGAGGCACATGGTCTTTGGACCGTAAGACTCCAAAAGCACAGGTGGTTTACAGACTCCAAGAGCTGCCGGTGGTTTACCGACCAAAAGAGGCATGCCTTCTCGCCCACAAGCACAGTGTATTTAGGGTAACCATGCGTATCTAAATTTACAATCTCACCTTTGTGGGCAATTGCTTTAAGACCTTCTCCACAAAGTAATGACAAGCATGTGCATACCTTATCACCAAGAAGCATAGCGCGACGGCCGTGGACTCGAGTCAGCCACGGCCGTTTGGCGGCGGATATCACCAAGAAGCATAGTTAATAATATGTTATAGTTACTTTAGTCTGACCAGCTGCATCTCAAATGGTCAAAGTGTTTGCATCTCCAGCAGTTCTTGCAAGTCTGACCTGCAGGTGGGTGAGTCTAGGTCTCAAAGTGTGCAGCCTGCCAAGTCCCTCGAAGTCCAGTTCGACTCAGTTGGCTTGTGGCATCCACCTGTGGCATCTACCTGCTCCCAGTCGTCGGAGTGCACGTGTTGCTCCGGCTTTGCTTCCTTCCTCTTGCGGGGGCGTGTGTCCGATTCAGCAAGGATTCTTGGGGCACCTTTCGTCAGACTTATGCAGCTTTGGGCAGTGGGTATGTCCAAAATGAATTCCGTGTTTTTTGTGCAATTCGCCATCTCAGAGATGTGGATTGCAACATCCTGTTCGACTTCTGACTGCATCGTAATGGCCGGGAGTCTCAAGGTCTTTGAAGGATTGATAATGGTTTCTTGAAAAGGGCAGCACACACACACACACATACGCCCTGACCCCATGGTGGGGTCTACTCTTCGTTTTTCTTTGCAGAACCTTCTTGAATTCCCATAGACTCTTGATTCATGAAACCTCCATATACAAATGAAGGAGGTTTAGGCCATCCGGGCCCTCGGGTGCCAACCCAGCCGCTTCCAAGAGGACCGGACCTCTATGGCTGGTCACGCCGGTATTCCGAGCAGAACCTCTACACTCAAACGCACAAATTGAAGACGTTGCATGGAGGGCATGGCCCTTTGCTGCATGGACATGACCGAACTGTTCGTGCTTAAGAAGTCTCCCACAATTTGGGGTGCTTTTCCTGCATGGTTGAAGTACATCGCTGGCAAAGGCATCGAAACTCCCTCCACTTCAGTGGTGGGAGCATCCAATCATTAATCTTTCTCCGATAATGCATGGGACTGGAACTGGAATATACTAAACCTACCCATAAAACATCATTAAACATCTAAATGCCACCCCCAATATAGGGCAAATATGTCCTACGTCATGGATTGGGTTTGCCACTGCGGGGTTGGACCGATGCGCTGGGGGATCTCAAGTTCCGAAGTCCGCAGGCACTCTGGAGAAGCAGCTGCAGCGCGAGTCACTTGGAGCAGGAGGTTCTTGATGTACGGCTGGTCTTAGTGTTCGAATTCGGTGGCTTGTGCTTGCTTTTGTTAGCCCCCCACTTCATGTGGTTCATGGACATGAACATCATAAGCACTTGTATGGTGGAGCTTTGTCGAGAAGTTCCTGATTCAAAGGGTTGAACTTTGAGGGAAAGGGGCATCTGGCTGTTCCCATTCCAAGCTCAATTGTGTCAGGCTTGTCAAACAGGACTGTTCGGGGTCAATGGGTACTCCGGCATCTCCTTCTGATGTATTCCGTTGACTTCTTGTCGTCTGGACTGTGCGAGTTAAGCATGGTTTTCGTTTTTGGGGGAACGGACATGAGTTGCTCACTTTCCTTATTTCAACGGAGTGAGCATGGCTGAGTGGTTCTCATGGCGAAAGCTTGTAGTTATCCTTTTCGGGCGACTCACTTGCTCGGCCAGAGCTCTTGCCACAGCTGTTCTGTAGATGTATCTCAAGTGTCTGGTTGCTTGCCATGCATGCGTTTCATTTTGACGCTGCTTTAGCCTGGGCCCAGCCACGAAGACCAAGAAGTAGAAGAAATCCAAATCCCCAACAAGAAGTTCCTTCCAGAGGTGTTTGTCTCCGGGGCTGAGAAATGGAGGATGTGCTGTTTGGAGTGGTGCATTGCAGAGAACTTGGAAGAAGCATCCAGCAGAAAAACTGCCTACTCCACTGAAGACGTCAACAAAATACCTCCCAAATGATAGAGACCAGGACCCCGAATACGCTACTGGCCCCCCAAAATGGGCTGCTGGGACCGTTTTTGGTCGCTGGGACCCGTACGACCCGGTCGACCAGCTTAAGATTCGATCTGATCCGGAGTGAGGTGCAGGCTTTTTGTTTGTTGGCCGTGCAGGTTTCCTCTATAAAATGAGAGCGATGAGAAGGGGTCATGGAGTGCAGAACTGCCTTGGACCCGCGTGCTTCTCCTGATTTCTGCGGTCATTGACGTGTCAAGCTACGGGAGTGATGTGGCGTGACCATCACGTATACTGCTTGGCACGCACAGGTTGTTTCACTCTGTTTTGTGTAAGACGTATTTCTGTCTTCTCTTCTGGGTCTCTCGGTTCAAGCGTAGCATATATCTCAAGCCTTTGGTTGCCTTCCATGTATTTCAACGCATTCAACGCTGTGGCACATCCGAGTCCATCCTGACCAAGCTTTGACCCAGCTCGGCAGCTCCACCTCCGTTGGGCCCCCGTTGGAAGAACAGCGGAACAGCAGCGCGGAAGAGCGGTGGAAGAACGACTCTGTTCAGGTTGCGTTCTTCAACAAATGGACCTGTTGGCCGCGGCTGGAGTTCCAGGCCTTGTTGCTTCTAAAGGATAAAGAACTAGGCTCAGAAGTTTCAGGTGTGAGGCCATCGCTCTTGGGTTGGAGCCCATTGCTTTTAGGTTGGAGGCCGTCGCTAGTAGGTTGGAAGATGTTAGAAGTGTTTGTTTTTTCAGTTCGATCACCGGGCCAGACACGATCTCGGGGTGTGACGGCGCACGATGTTTTCAGCTGCACGCGTTTCTACGGTTTCTACGGCGGTTTCAGCTTCGAGCCATGAGAATTCCAGTGCAGCAGATGAGCAACTCGGCACTGAAACATGGTTTCTTTTGGATGGTCACTTTTCGTTCACATCCTGTTCTTACACCATCGGAAACACCAACACCCCCTATAGAAACCTTGTTGGAACGAACACTAAGGGATGTTGGGAGAGCTCTCAGACCTTCGGAGATGTCTCGTTCCTGTTCTGCTATCCAGGGCGGATGAGCGGATGACGCTTGTTCGACACGCTGGGTAGTCTGATTTTGCGATCTAGTAGCGATCTAGCAGCTTCTTGTTCCGTTCGTAGGGATGGCCTCCACCAGCCGGACGCGATGGCCTCCAAGCTCTTGAAGAACTAGCCAATTTGATCTACAAAGGATGCCGTAAATGGGCGTACGCGTACCTGCCCATTTTTAGGAGACACCAACCAAGTAATCATGATTACTTCGATGTCCCCGACAGGATGACCATTTTCCGAAAGGGAAGTGTAGTAGTTCCACATTTCGATTGACCTCCTTCTTGGCAGAAGTTCAGTTCCAAGACAATCGCGCCTTACAACCTCCCCATCGCGGTTCCATTTTTTGGTGGCTTTTGAACTCCGAAAACGCTCATCCACATTCGGATCGCAGCCTCCCTTCAGCGGTTCAGCCGCATGGTTTCGGGGTGGATGCCTTCCGATCCTTTCGTTGGTTTTGTAGCGAACGAAAACCGGCCGTTCACTACGACCGATCGATCCATTGGAGGCCCATCGTTCCAATCTTCCATTCTTTCTCCTATAGAGCGTCGATCCGTGAGTTCTTCTTGCCGGTTGGAACGTGTGTCGTGTGTTGAAGATGTGACACAGGCGGAGATGTGACCACAGTTGAAGCGTCTCCTGACACGACCATCGGCTTCGTTCAAGAGGCAGCCGAAAGGAATGCACACCTGCGAGTTCAAGCAACGGCTGAAACGGCCAACGTGTGTCGACTGTGACGATGAGTTGATCAAAAAGCTCATCTTGGTCGAAGTGCTGATGGGTGAAACGCAACTCACTGACGATGACCAGACGATCATGCAAGCCGGACTTTCTCCAGATGTGGTTTTGCAACATGCTTCACAGTCATCATGACTTATTTATCAGTCATCAAACAATATTGTTTTTGTTCTCCGTTGTTTGGGACATACTAGGTGATCCCTTCAACTAGATCGAAACACAGGTAATGACATGTAGTGACTAGGAATGACCAGGAATTGGTTGTGGGCTTGTTCTTTTGTTGGCACACTGCCCTTACAGTGGTTCCACAGGATCTTGTTCTATTACCAAAGTCCCTCAGTCAAGGTCCGTTCGCGGATGAGTGCTCAAGAAAAGAGGATGCAGGCTGTCCTTTGAGCGTGACTAGTCCAGATGTGGAGGACTTGTGCATGGCAAATATTCTGGATGGTGTGACAGCAATTGCAAAAGATGCATTCGCAAACTGCGCACTTGTCGGCCAAGTGACCATTTCCAACTCAGTGACCAAGATTGGAGAAGGCGCTTTTGGAGGCTGCTGTTCTTTGACCACTTTGACCATTCCGGACTCTGTGACTGACATTGGGCAGTACACCTTCGACAACTGCACCCTTTTAACCAGTTTGACCATTCCCGACTCTGTCACAGACATTGGGCCATACTCCTTTCATGACTGCAGCTTTTTGACCAGCTTGATCATTCCGAAGTTCGTTACCAAGATTGTGCAATACACTCACCGTTCAGAACTGCAGCTCTTTGACAAGCTTGACCATTCCGGACTCTGTGACGGATATTGGGCCATACTCCTTTCATGGCTGCAGCTCTTTGACCAGTTTGACCATTCCCGACTCTGTGACCGAGATTGGAGAAGATGCTTTTGGAGGCTGCTGCTCTTTGACCACTTTGTCCATTCCAGAGCGTTTGGCTGCTGTTCGAGGAATTGCCTTTATCTGGTCTTATTCCCAAAGCGGCTTCTTAATGCTTTGTATGAGATATCTCAGTAGTAGATATCTCATATAGACTTGATATTGAGAAGGCAACCTGAGAGCTGTGTGCATGCCGGATGGACGGTCGCGTGAATCGGATCTCTGACTTGCTGGTTCTTCTACCCAAACTGACTGCTGCTTAGTGAGGAATGAGGGTGGCTGGAACTTATTAAGGTATTTATCCCACACACCCATGTCTTTGGAATATATGTCCATATATTGCACCCTTTTCAACCAAGGTAAGGACATATTTGCCAGTCGTGCCATGCCAGTCCCAGATGGTTCGTGTTCGGGTATACCGAGTCGTGCCCTGTTCACCGAGGAAGGCGATGCAGGCCGAGAAGGCGCCACACGGTGTTTTTCCTTTGGGGATGGTGAACAAGAAGATCCTTCTCCAAAAGGCTCTAAAATGTCGGATCTAACATGATCTACTACCTTTGAATCTGTATCGTCAATTAGTGTATCTTAATTAGTGTTCTAATGTATTCTATATCATGGTGCATATTCTGATTCTTTCGTTCCGTGCTGCATCTGTGGATCTTTGAAAAGTCCTGTCATGCGGTGTTTCAGTTTAGGATTGCGGGACGATTCCTTCGACGTCAAAAGAAGCGTTGAGTTGCAGTTTCGTTGGCTGCCCGAGATCACCAGAGGGAAGACAGGATCTTTCTTTCGAGTCGGGTGTGTAAACACCAGTTGATTGGTTGTTACACCGGAAACTGTTTTGGGGTGGTCTTCCATGATGGGATCGTGGGAGGTCAGGTTTTCCTGGGAACCGATCCGTTTTTCAGGACCCCAAGGAAAGGTGGCGTGGATGGAGGCTGTCCCTATGTCTGCCAGTTGATCAAATTCAACCACTTGGAACCTCTGAAGCGACTGCTTCAGGAACTAGGTCTAGCAGGGGTTTGCCTCAGGAGGAGATTACAGAAGCCAGCAGTCACAAAGGGGTGCTTAATGGAGGTTAGGGGTGCCCAGTATCCACTCACTTGGGCACTAAGCACCACCCCTTTAGAAGACATTTCCACAAAAAGAACGATTGCTTGACACAAGACCCCTGACCATTTCGGGTGATCTCCCCATCAACGGTCGAGTGAGGCACGGCTCCGGACCCTTTCAGAACAGCAGCGATCCAGTGTGGAGGCTGAGGAAAAGGTATCGGCTGAGACTGAATCGAGTGACTGGTGCGAGAGCCTCCAACCTAATAGCAGTGGGCGACCATTTAGCAAGAAATAAGGGAACAGAACCTGTTCGGTCTCGGTCTACGGGGTCATTCCCTGAAAACCCCCTACGAGTCGCACCAGGTCTCACTCTGATGGCGGCGTGGAGTTGGTGAAAGATGTTTCGGTCCCAAAATCCAACAGAGGTTAGTTAAGTGACCTAAACTAGGACCCTACAGGGGTACCTATAGGATATTATAGGATAGTCGAACTAGGGTTCTTCAACCTCTGCTGGAAGGACTGGCTGGTGGGGCCGATGTTGGAATCATCATGGTGGAAGGGAGTCTCATGGCCGATGTCGGGTGAGCATGGAATTCATTTAAAAAAGGACCCAAGAGGTGATGAGTTTTTCCACGCTGAGTAAGGACTGTTTATTCATGAGACCAACAATCATTACTCAATTCAGGTACTGTTCTTGCCGAGTCCAGGACCCAGGAGATCGAACTTTCAACCTTTGACCCAGGAGATTGGGATGATCGAACCGACCGCGGTGAAAACCGAACTCGCCTCCCCTCCAACTGCCTGGCCCACTCCCGGAATGGCGGATGGAAGTCCGGGCGCTATGCCATCCGCCCTTCCATGATTCTTTAGGGAGTGTATACTTCTTTGGGCGGAGGCCTGAGAACAAGACATGGTGCAACAGCCAACAGCGGCTGTCCATCTTCCCACACTTGGACGAATCAGAGGAGGAAACAGAACCAAATGAGACCAGCGACCCTCCACCCTGGTTTCAAGGTATGTTTGAGATGTTTCCGAGATGAATCCAGCGACACCGGGGAGGATTGTCACTTCGTCTACCGGTCTTTTCCAAGATCCGGTCGACCGTCGCCCGGCCGATGGAACCGGAATTGCCTGGATCGACCGAGGTGAAAACCTACGTGTTTGGGGGCCCAAGCCATCGGTCTTTGTGGTGCAGGTGCAGGTGTCCATTGATGGCAGTTTTTTTGTGTTTTTGGAGTAACGTTGGGATGTGTGGTACGGTCAGACCGTCGTGTGCGAAGCTGTGAGTACTGTATCTTGTTCTTCCGGGGGGGTACATGGTGGCACCATGAAATCGACCACAAGAATCATAGACCTCTCAACTTGGTGCCCAAAGGATCCAAAGAGTTGGTGCTGTCGTTGGAGCTGTCGTTGGAGCTGTCGTTAGGTCGAGCGGGACGTGACGGGCAGTCTGTCCACAAATAAAACGGATGCTCATCAAGCCAAGATCTTGGGTTGGAGGCCATCGCTAGTAGGTTACAGGCCGTCACTCTTAGCAAGACTTGTACTCCTACCTGGACCATGCTTCAACGATTCAAAAGCATATACGTATGTTCCAAATGTCGTAGTCTTAGTTGTGGGTATCATGATGATAACAACTCCATTGGACCAGAGGCCAACACTCTGCTCGTGTCTGTTGCTGACCCTATAAGCTTTGGCTCTTGTTGTTCTATCCCACCAGAATACGGCCCGCCAGGCGTCGGTGATGCCATCTCTCATGTTCTCTTCTCGATAGGAAGCAGAACCTAGGCCTCAGGAAAGCCATTGAAGTCGGGAATCCTCATTGACATGTTTTTGTTTCAGAGTGTTTTGTTTCAGAGTGTTTTTTGTTTGACTGAGTGGTTGACCACCTTGTCTGTGATTCGTGCGGGGCGACAATGTCAAGCAACGAAGGTTTGGGCGTGCATCTCCCGAATCCCACACCGATCAAGAATCTGAGTTGATTTCTATTCCGGTGATCTTCCCCACCCTCTTCACCCTCTTCAACCACTCACTCCGCCCACCATGCGTCACCTTCACCGAGGGTCGCTCGTCAGCAGGAACTGGCGCCTCGCGACTTCCCGGCCGCCTCGCCACGGATGCCACGTGCCGTCAACGGCGCGAACTCTCCCTTGGTGGACAGGCATGGACCGCACGTGTTCCACGGCGGTGGTGGGCATGGTGGTTGTCCGTGGTTGTTAAAGGTCGTCCAGACGTGGGTTGCCATGGAATGGATCCTCTTCTGGTGGGTTGCCATGACAGACTTGACGTTTCCCCGTTGGCGCATGTCGCGCTGGGAAAGACCGTCGACGGCTGGGAAAGACCGTGTAATTGGAACGTCAGACGGGCCACTGAGAATGTCGCGCAGTTCTTGAAGGAAATGCACAGCATGGTGTGAAGGACGAGCCATCAGACGAATCAAAGAGACGTCCACATGACGAATGGTTTGGTTTGAAAAAACAGGAAGAAAATGGAACATCTTTCTTGAATTGATGGTTTCTAAATGTTTCCAGCGTTGTTTGAACACTTTGCAGGGTGGTGTGAAGCCTTCTCGCCTGCGCTCGCCCTCCAAAAACCTACACTGTTGGGGTCGTCCGAACGGGCTGCCTGAAAGGCCGAGGAACCTTGGACACGAGCGTTCGGTGCGGGTTCCTAGCCGTGAGGCTTCGTGAGGGAGAACGGTGTCGACATCACACCCATGGTTAGGGCGTGGCATCCAAATCCTACACGACCTGGGACTGGAAAGATTTTGATGCTACATTTGGGTTAGTTGAATTCAGGGTCTTTCGGGCACCGTCAATCTTCCAGTCCCCAGGTGGAAGGCGAGTCCCGACTGACTGGACCGGTTTTATCGGAGTTCGGAGCCGGAGCCGCGGAAGATCCAAAAGGCAGCCGATTGGTGGGGCACAAGTGCCCAGCCAAGCAGTACTGTACCAGTCGATAATATCTGAAAGAGCCATAGGAAAATGTGAGCATATCTTGTATTTATTTTGCTTAGTAACCGGGGTTCCAGTTTACAACCAGGGTTCCACAAAATCTTTGCATACCGAACTAACTTGTTAGGTTGTTGATGGTTGTTGCTTGCTGAATATCGAGCCTCAAAGCCATTTCGGATCAGCTTGTCTCCACTACACATGTCCTTTGTGCCTTTGTGAACGTGGATCAGCTGAGTGAGTCTGTGTCTTACTTGGTGTGTGTGGGTGTGAAGCAAGCAAACTTCCTTGTTGTGATGTGATGTTGTTCACAACTGTTTGTCCACACTGTTGCGCACGCTAAGACCAGAAGTGGAGCAAGTGACCAATTCGATGAAGAGACCTGCCACGAAGGGACCGACAAAGGTGAACAAGGGATCAACCCTAAAGAAGGATGCAACCCGATACCCTCAATTTGGCCGCTTTGTTCAGGGACAGTGCTCTCAATGGAAGCCGCTTGGATTTCCACAGGTTCACCGAGCCAAGCTCCAGCTGGAAGTTGTGACTTGTCATGCATTGCTTGTAGTTGGAACTCGTTTGCAGCATTTAATTTGCTTGCAGGAACCAACACGTTACAGCACTGCAACAACTACTGTAACAGCACAACGCATGTTGAAACACTCACAAAGCGTTACAGCAGTGCAACAACACAACAAGCACTGTAACTAAGTTGTTTGACCTTGTTGGCCTTACACCCTGGTGAAACAACACGCCCAATTGGCCTAGGTTCCTCCGCGAAAGCCAAAGTCTCAAGGCAATGTGGAGCTCCACCGCGGAAAGTTTGTCTTGCAGACCATGGGTTGCTTGAGTAGGGTGCTTAGGGTGCAGGTTACATACTGTATACCATGTAGACTGAACTTCTAGCGCTTACTTTGTTGACATACGATGTTGTTGTAAGAATTGCTCACCGGTTTTAATCATGCAGGATGCTTTTCATGAACTTACACGGCAACCACGCAATACATCTCTACATCGGGGGAAAGCAGGTGGCAGGATGCTTTGCTTTGCTTGATGCTGCGGTGCAAGAGGCTGCCAACAACAAGAAGAAGTGTGATGCGGACCATGAACCTGAAGCAGAGACAGAACATGACGAAGAAGGAGGTGAAGATGGTGAAGAGGAGGATGTCGAGTTGGATGAACCTGTCCCTGAAGAGGGATCGTAGACTTGCAAGACATATTATGTACAATATGTACATATGTGCGATGGAGATGGAAAAAGTTGCACCTGTGTGCTGAAGTGTTGGGTTGGTGTTGCAGAGTTTTGTCAATGCATGTTGTCCTGCTGCTTGGTTCCCCCTACAAAAAACTGGAACCCTGGTTAGAAACTGGAATCCCAGTTACTAAGCAACATTTTTTTGTGAGTTATCATGAGTTATCATATGAGCAAACTCCGGCTTAGATTGGAAGCTGGGTGGCCACCT